AGGGCTTATTTCGTGTTGATGCAAAAATGGGACAACATGCACTAATGGTAATAATTACGACATGTATTTAGTACTATGCTTCCTTTATTGGTTTGTTGGTTTTGTTTTGGTGTGGTATGCATGTGGTTTATAATTTTGTTATAGATATGTCATACTAACTAAAGAATTTTTATGTCTATTTTGCATAGTGTACCAAAAATGAATCATTAATATTTTTCAATAAAAACCCTATAAGATATGACTTATAATTTTTTTAAATATTTTTCCCGATTTCCACTCATTTGAAAAATTATAACCCTATTTTTTAAATAAAATTCATTAATTCATGCATTTAAGGGTTAATACTAAATCACCGCAGCCTATAATTTAAAAAAAACAGGTCACCCGCAGTGATCGAAAGTTTCTCCATCCCCGACTTACAGCAACAATATAGCAAACACAATGGCAGAAAGAAGAACAAACATCCGACGTTCGGAATTCCGACTTCGGAATTATCCAACGTTGCAAACATTCGTTACAAGTTGATGCGGCAATCATGGTCGAGCGGATCTAATGAGCTAAATTACAATCGTGCGCCGTTTATCGTAGTTGTCTGAAATCCCCAGTTGAGAACCATTTGCACCTGCGGCTCTCTGAAAATTCCGCCGTTGCTTGTCGTCCGACCAAATATTTATGATTCTGATCGAAAATTTTCTGGCAGAGGTAGCATCACGGGCTGGAGGCGGCCCGCCCGAATGAAAAACATGGCCGCGGCGCATGTAAATAAGAGAACACTCGTAAAACATTGGACGTGTAATGAACGAGTGGTTGCAGATGAAAAGAGGAACCGGCGGCGGCGGCGCCGCGTGCTTGGCTTCCGGGTGGATCGCGGCCGGGAAATTCGGGCGATATCTTAAATTTGATCGTTTTATCGGTGCATGGGTAAGGTTGAGCGCGTACGAAATAAATCGGGGGCGGAATTAGCCAAATTAGATCGTAAACCGTTGTTTACGGTTGATCTTACCCGAATATTTCCAAGATCGCGGTAGTTATCGATCGGCCGGGGAAACGGCGCGCCGTCAAACCCCGAAGATTTGCGAGGATCCAATGGAAACGATATTGTACACTGAAATATATATATACTGTACAGAGCAGAAAAAACTTGGGCAAATTGGTCGGAAATAAGGTAATAAAATGCCGCAGTTTTTATGCTAGCCTAGCGCGGCCGTGCACAGTGTGCGTACAGGGTGCGCCCGGTAACGATGGTACAAATTCACATGAGCTGATGGCTCGTGTAAAAATAAAGTGAAATTGCGCACTGAAATGTAACTCTTCCGCGCGACCATATATTTCCGGCTGTTTCCGTCGGCGATAAACGCGGGTAATTGGGCCATGATTGTTCATGAACTTGTCATACGAGTCGAATGGCAACGGTAAAACAAAAGAGGTTCAAATCGGATTCGCGGAACGGATCGTTCTGCCGCCGAATTTGTTCGCGAACTTATTACGTAAGTCCAATATAGAGTAACAGCACGACGAAAGGTTCGATTGTGTGTACTCGTGAAGTAAATTACTCTTATACCTCCGTCGTTCGTGAACTCAACATAGGAAGTTCAATAGCAACGGCGGGATGAATGAAATGTTGAAGCGGAAACCGCGGATTCTATGCGTTCACGTCGTCGAAAATGATCGGGCGAAGTTTCGAATACGAAACGACGATTAAAAGAGTTTAACGCGAGACGAGAATTTCTGTTTAATTTTCGTTCGATTTACGTTAACGCATGGAAAAATGATTAAATCAGGATTGTTCGACATCGAACAGTCGATCGAAAACTATTTCCATGGGAACTCGTAGGAACATTTGCATTTAATAATCATGGTATTATATTATATTATCTAAATGGTTAATTTTCAGTTTCAGTTAATTAGTTGTGGGCGCACGAATTACCTAGATTTACTCTAAATAATTTCTAATAGCTGATGCGATCGAAATGTATACAGTGGTATTATGTATATATTAATAGTTACTACGCCGCGCGGCATTGATTTGAAAATTAATATTCACGCGAGGATCTCGTGACAGATTATGTCGATTACAAACTCGGTTAATCAAAGTACACGTAAGATTTTTTTTGGAGAAGTTATTGCATCTGAAAATATTGAAAATTACTTTTGCATTTTTGTCTTTCAAGTATTTTTCAATGCTCCAGTAATAATTGATACAGCAAAATAAGATATGTTAAAAATAGTACTATTATTGAATATACAATTGTAATTAATCCAAACCCACAGTCATCTGAAATTGTTAATATCGTAAACAATGTAAATATATTTATATATTTTATTTTTCTTCGCAAATATTTTAGCCAGTTCCGATATTTTCTTTTAAAGCTGAAAATTGCATTGCGTATATTTTCTCGTATAATTTAAGAACAAAATGAGCAGCTGTGATTAAGCACAGTAGAAAAATGAAAGGAATTCGAATGTATCGTATTACTTTCGTTCGAATGGAAAAAGTATAGAAGAAAAAGATATAAAAATTTCTCCATACAATCATTTGTGTTCAGCATCAGTAATTGTAATAAAAAACTAAGAAATCAGTTGTTTTAACAAATTTGATGGTTCTATTGTTGAAGAAAGAAATCCCAAAAATAACTCACATTTTGCACGGTCTATTCGTCTCCGATTCACGGTCTAATCATTCGACGCGTTTTGATTGACGAGAGCTTCAAACATATTTTCATTTCGTTCGATGATTAAATGACTCGTTTAAACAGAGAAGTACGCGCAGTACAGCGAATTCTTGTTGACAATCGGCAACTACAAAAAGGAGCCGCGATGCTCGAATAATCGTCTCTCCTCTTTCCGAATTGTCCACTTTTGTGTACAAGCCGAGCGTCAATTAGAGAGAATTTGCTGTGTTCGGTTTTGTAAGGGAAGCGGAACGACCGCAAACGACGAATGTTCCAACGAATATTTTAGGTAATACGTTTTAAGCAGCTTCGAGTGTACGAGGGCACAAAGGGTCAAAGGCGAGCGGAGTTCGAAAAATCGCGGGACTAACCGTATCAGGTAATCGGCTGAAACCGGGTTTCCATCGCTTCGAGCACTTCCAAAAATACACAAACGGAGGATTTTAATGATCAAGAATGGAAACTTGTTACCGAGATTCCTTTGTGCTCTGCTCGTGACGGTTCCATGTCGTCGCAATTCAAATTACGTTCATACTCGAGTGGAAAGATGAAGTGTCCGATTACCATATTAACCTGCCACTACTCTGTGGAGTAACATTCATTACAGGCCTCGCTAATTGCAGTTATATTTCATCGTGCCGCAATATATGTACAATTTGTACGATTTAAAATCTGTCCAATTCTATCGCGCGCATTAAGCGCCGCGAGAAATTGAGAAACGGTTCATACATCGTTATAATCTAAAACGCGGATACGCAAATCTTCTTTTTTTTTCGGTTTTAAATTCGGGTCGTTAAATCGCTGCAATTTATGCAACGTATCCCGGCGTTCCGCGATTATTGTAATCTACAGAGTTCGCGAAAACCCTTTTCGAACAAAATTCAAGTTATGAAATACCGAATTCGTCGTTGGGCAAGGTCGTTATACTTTTGGAACGACAAACATTTTCTCGGATTCTCGACTATTCCGTTTTCGCGTTTTTATATTGTACGAATTATGTAAATGCAAATACAAATTATGAATACAAATTACTCTCGATTAACTGGTAAATTTCTCCCTAATTAGTCAATTCATTAATTAGAGAGAATTTACTGTATTTCTGAAAACCGTAATGAATCATACACAAATTTAAGTTGCCAGAAATTGGATGGTCAAATATCGAGCCGAGCAACAAGATAATTAAGAGTGAAATACTAATGTTGTTCAAACACAATAGTTATAGCAAGTAAGTTCTATACTAGAGGAATTTTTAGCCCTTTGCGCTCTCGAGACTATTTTAACCCTAAAATGAACACATTCTTTTCGACCTACAGTATTTACATTTGGCACGATTGTTTTATGAAATTGAACGCAGAAGACTTCTGTTATTTGACAATTTATCGAATACAGACAAAGCCAATAATGTGAACATTCTTCCGAAAATAGTCCAGCAATTTTTCGCATCGCCTCAGGAGTCGCCACCTCGAGTGCAAAGGGTTAAGTTAAGATACACAAGATCGTCGCGTGTCGTATTTCGTTCGAATAAACGTCTTTCAAATGGTGAAAAAATGAAGTTTCTGCTATTCATTTAAAAATCTAATATCTCGTGTGCACCAACCTAGTACATAAATGTTATCGTCACGAATCGATAACCTCTGCCGCATTTCGAGACGTCCATTGCGGGCGAATTTCCTAGGGTACGGGGCCGGTAATGTTTTCGCGGTGCTGGCTACATTAAAAAGCAAATGCACTCTTACCGAGAATGTCCAAACATCCAAGCTGGGATATCATCGGGCTGGTGTTGATCTGGCACATGTAACAATCTCTATCCGACTCCTTCAGCTGACGAATATGAAGCCGCCACGTGCCGTTGACGACTTCCTCCGTGGCTTGGCTACTTCCTGTCACCCCAAAGGCGTTCCCGGATACTGCGCCGGACCCGGAACTTCCGCCGGTCTCGTACGAGACCGCGATACGTGCATTATCCGTTACCGTCCTCGTGTTGAGCGAGAGAATCGTCTGGTCCGAGGCACGTAGCCAGCCAACCTGGAAAATCCATTGTCATTTCCCTGGCCTTGCTTTGCCAACGACCAACTCGTTACCGCAACAGATATTTCCATGTAGTTGCCCTCGGATAACCTTAATGATTCTCGAGTGTATCCCCGGTGACGCTTTAATTGCGAACGCTTCGCCTTCGATCAATGCTCGATAAGACCGCTGTCATTCCGATCCCCCGGGATCTCGAACCGTCTGATAGGTACATGGAAATACCTTTTTAAACGTGCTGCCACTGGCTGTCGCATTTAGGCCACGCTCAATTCGATCTCCTCGTTGCAGTAGGCCAACCGAGCCGGTTACCGTTGGTTGACCAATCGCAAGTGTCTTCGGTTTGTTCACCGGCATAATTCGCGTTATATTTACCGCATAAGGCGTATTGAATATTTCTATTCGAAGTGAAGAAAATCGAAGAACAAATTGCTGTGCTTTCGGCTCGTTCTCGGGCACAATTAACTTTGTATTTATCGAATCAGATATGAGCCGCTTATTTTGAAAGCGGCCTAACTCCATTTATCTTCAAATCGAGATATTTAAAGTTTCGCGTTTCAATGAATTTAAAAATATACGTATAGGATACTAATGAGTCATACTGCTTAAGCGTATCTAAGGATGTTAAATTTAAAGTTCCTGTTAAAATAGTGGCAATTATTAAGTAAATAACGTGCGTTTTCTTATCAAGAATGGAGTTGGGCCACTTTCAAAATTAACAGCCAGATTCATTATAAAATTTGAAGGTGCCCAAGTCCATTCAACATAATTTAAGATGTTTCAAATTGAAAAAAACAATACTGAATTTGTTTTACATATCTTGAAAACACTTCGGAAACATAATTTATGCGATTTAAAACATTTTTTAATTACAGAACATAGAAAATTACAAACATAAATTTATTACAAAACAATTTACTATTCGTCTACATTTTGTGCGTGTGAAAGTGATTTGAAGAAATCATGATGTTCTGGTGGTATGTATCGTAATAGGTCAATTATGTCCTTAAATTTTGCTGTTGTAATTTGTCTAATAGTTTTATACAATGGTGTCAATACAATATTTTCGAACTTTCTCGGTCTGTCCCGACGTGGTAATAAATTCAGGACTATAAAATTTTCATCCTCATTCATTGATGTCTTATATAAAATTTTATATCTGTCTCTTATACACATCTTATAAAACTTAAAATTTAATATTAAATTTTAAGTTTTATAAGATGTGTATAAGAGACAGATATAAAATTTTATATAAGACATCAATGAATGAGGATGAAAATTTTATAGTCCTGAATCTGTCTCTTATACACATCTTATAAAACTTAAAATTTAATATTAAATTTTAAGTTTTATAAGATGTGTATAAGAGACAGATATAAAATTTTATATAAGACATCAATGAATGAGGATGAAAATTTTATAGTCCTGAATCTGTCTCTTATACACATCTTATAAAACTTAAAATTTAATATTAAATTTTAAGTTTTATAAGATGTGTATAAGAGACAGATATAAAATTTTATATAAGACATCAATGAATGAGGATGAAAATTTTATAGTCCTGAATCTGTCTCTTATACACATCTTATAAAACTTAAAATTTAATATTAAATTTTAAGTTTTATAAGATGTGTATAAGAGACAGATATAAAATTTTATATAAGACATCAATGAATGAGGATGAAAATTTTATAGTCCTGAATCTGTCTCTTATACACATCTTATAAAACTTAAAATTTAATATTAAATTTTAAGTTTTATAAGATGTGTATAAGAGACAGATATAAAATTTTATATAAGACATCAATGAATGAGGATGAAAATTTTATAGTCCTGAATCTGTCTCTTATACACATCTTATAAAACTTAAAATTTAATATTAAATTTTAAGTTTTATAAGATGTGTATAAGAGACAGATATAAAATTTTATATAAGACATCAATGAATGAGGATGAAAATTTTATAGTCCTGAATCTGTCTCTTATACACATCTTATAAAACTTAAAATTTAATATTAAATTTTAAGTTTTATAAGATGTGTATAAGAGACAGATATAAAATTTTATATAAGACATCAATGAATGAGGATGAAAATTTTATAGTCCTGAATCTGTCTCTTATACACATCTTATAAAACTTAAAATTTAATATTAAATTTTAAGTTTTATAAGATGTGTATAAGAGACAGATATAAAATTTTATATAAGACATCAATGAATGAGGATGAAAATTTTATAGTCCTGAATCTGTCTCTTATACACATCTAGATGTGTATAAGAGACAGACATGAAGCTGTACATTTAACCATGGTAACCGGCAAAAAATTGGAAAACGGAGTTAGGTCACTTTCAAAATAATCGGCTCATATATTGAATCTTTTTAGTTTTTATTTTGTTTATTTCTGAATGATTTTGTTCCTTTATTTTGCTTATTCGTGAATTTTTATATTACATTATTCTGTCATTCTTGAATTATTTTATTCTTTGATCCTGTTTATTTTTGCATAAAAAAGATTGAATATGTCTTATTCGATGAAGTTAATTACCCTCGAAAATAAATCTAAACATCATCTATTACAATATTTTACGATATTGTAAAGACATTGTCTTCAATGTATCACAATTATTAAAAGAGAAAACACATTTTCATCTAATTTATGCTGCTCGCGATGAATTCAAACAAATTTTATTCTGCGCGAAGTATCCGCATTTCAATAATTCATACGAAGAAGAAAACGTAAGTTCTTTTCACGAGTACCTTTATAGTTAATAAATTTGGGCATTCAAATTCGCTCGAGCCTTTCAATTATACTAGAAACATGAAAAAAATGTTGAAAATGTCGAGTGGTCCTAATTCGATGGCCAGTGGGCTGTACGCAGCAATTTAATCCTTTGCGGACGAACGCAGCGAAATGAGTGGCATCATACTTCTTCGTACTGGGTCAAATGCCGTCATTATAATGGAAAAGAACATTGTTACCTTCAAATGAAGTCGTGAAAAGTACTAATTAAAGAAATACTCTTGTTTAAAAGGTCGAAATTCTGTTCGAACATGTATGTTTCGCGCAACGAAATATCTGTTCCAGTGGAAATTTGATGAAAAGGATTCGGTATCCTTTTCAATAAATGTTCTCCTGGAACGGATATTTTAGAATATGAACATTAAAAGTTCCATGAGATATTATAAATAAACCACTGAATTATTATACGCTGGACTTGATTAATGATATTGTAATTTTTGTTTTATAACCGGAATAACTGTTCAATATCGTTGTGATATTATTCGTTAATTGATATTTGGTACTTGTGTAACAACGTTCGAGAACATTTTTCATATATTATTAATTAAGGAAACATTTGTCCTTGTTGCAGAAAAATCTTCATTTTTTAATTTCATTGACTACAGTCAAAACAAAACTTTTAATCTCAAGAACACTTTCATATCTTTTCTTATTGGAACTTATACAATCAGAATTTTTTATCAAACAATTTACAATCACTTCTTCCTAATTTTCTTTTAGCTTGTAAACAAAAATGGACAATTTGGGAATTCGAGCTTTGCACCTTGTTTCTATAATTGTTGACAATCGGCGACTGTAAAAATGAGCCGCGAGGCTCGAATAATCGTATCTCCTCTCTCCAAATTGTCCATTCTTTTCCTTCGAGCTGAAGGAAAATTAGGGAGAATTTACTGTACAATGCACAGGATGCCAGAATATAAATGATCGAAAACCGTAAATGCAAGTACTCGAAACGGTATTCTTGCAATTATTTACGACGATATCACAATCCAATTTAGCGTTGTAGTTCCATCGTAACCGAATGAAAACAATTATTATTTCGTGTGAAATACACACAATTTCAAAATCACGGTGACACTGAAATAATAAGAACAACGTTTCCAGGCATCGTATCGAATGTTGATAACAATGGGCAGCGAGCTCGGATCTCGCATTACATAATATTCCAAATACGATACGTGTTTCGGAGAGCCATCTTTTATTGTCAAACCATTGTTCTTCTTTTTCCATTTAACTGTCAATATCATTTTGACGGTGGCATTGTTCGATCGAACACGCGACGAAGATTTCGAACGCAATTGATCAAGCACGTGCGTTGTTCGTTTCTTTTAACCTGAAATAAACTTCGATCGATTTTGTTATCGATGCTTAACCACTAGAGAAAAGTACAGCAAGAAATTCCGGTCGACGAGGAACTTCCGATCGCCGTGGTTATTAGCATAAATGATTAATTAAAAGGCGAGCCTGAATTAAACCATTAAAATAACGATGATTTCCGGCGACGTTTTTATAACGCGAGACATTGACGAAACTTTTCGTCACATAAATGTAGCTAACAGAAATTTATGGACATTGAGCTGTCAAATAATATATATGATACGTGGCGAAAAGTTTCGTCGATGTTTTCGTCATAAAAAAGTTATCGAAAACGATTCTGCCCCCTTAAAGCGTTGAATCTACTATAGCAGAACGGACGTATCGATTGAAATAGTTGTTTGAACGAATAATTGGAATAATTCTCTCTAATTGTCGCTCAGATTCTATCAAAAAATGGACAATTTTGGAAGAGAAGATACGATTATTCGAGCCTTGCGGCTCGTTTTTATAGTTGTTGACAATCGATAATTATAAAAACGAGCCGCAAGGCCCGAATAATCGTGTCTCTTCTTTTCAAAATGTTCATCTTTGTGCACAATTTAAGCGTCAATTACGGAGAATTTACTATAGTGTACATTTTTGCAAGAAATCCGGTCGCGCAAAAGCAGATTCCAGAAGATTCCATTCGTCGTTTCAATAATCCACGAGAACATAGTACAGTTTTGTTAATTTTTTATCGACTACCCGGAGTACCGAAACTTCGCCCGCACTTTCCGGATGTTAGATTGCGATGTTTGCGATCGAACACACGGACAGGGATTGCTGGTGCTTGGATCCACCGGTTCCCATAAAAACGGGACCCTACGGATCAAAGTTCTGATT